ATATGTTCCATGACCCAGTGATATTTGCTTAGATGAACAAAATGTGGACTTACAGGAGGATGATTTCTACAATATTCTTAAGAAGCAACTTCCCACATGAGCTGTGTGGCACAGTATTTGAAACCATGGTGCACAAGGTCTGGTCTTAGTCATACAGGGTTGGACTGGGGTGAGGGCTAAAGAAGCAAGCCTTAGCAAATTAACTGGCTATAAATTGTAGCTTGATGAGGCATCCAACAATTATACACTTGCAAAAGAAATTTTGTCTTCAAACCCATGATTTTATCTTTTTGAGGGTTTTATAAATCAATGCACCAACTACTTGTGAGGTGAAGCAGAAGTTAGTGGGAGACTCAGGAGGTATAAAATGAGAAAGTTTGAGGAGGAAAAAATAAGCTCTCTTTTAGCTTTTTAATGGTAACAATACTGCATTCAGTAATTACAGTAATGATTAAAGTTGCCCTAACCTATTGTTCCACTGTCTGTCTGAGTCTTTCCAGAAATGGAAGTCACTAACTGAATTTTTTTTTATTAAAGCATGGAAATAATACTTATTGATAGAGATGTTTTTCTTACTTTCAACAAGTAATTTTATTTAATATAGCATATGATCTCATTTTGAATTGAGGTTGCTCCTGTATCCCAGTATCAGTCATGCAGAGAAGGCCTGTTAGAATTCAGTTGGCATCTTCTTAAATAGAAAGCAGGAGCAGATATTTAATTTTCTTTTTAGGAAGGTTTGTTTGTTTGTTTGTTTGTTTGTTTTTAACAATGCCAGCACCCAATCTGCTTTTATTTTCCATTAATTTCTCTTAAATCTATTCTGCTTAGGTTTAGATAACGAATAAAGGCAGTACTTCCATGAATTCATATGATGTTGCCTCCAGAGCAGTAGCAATTGAAAGGTGGCTGAATTTTGACTTACGGATTTTTATTATGGTGACACAAGTTCCTATTCGCCGCCTCTAAAAGCTTATTTTTGTGATTTTAGTCTAAGATTATTTTAGTGGTACCTAACATTTCAGTAAAAGGTTCATTTTTCAGATGGAGCTTAAATTACATATATTTAAGTACTTTCACAGAAAGTTACTTTAATCATTAAAGGTTTTATTTTAGGGGGAGTCAATGGAAAAATGTTCACTAAAACAGCTAATCTTTGTAAACATTTGGACTATTATTTTTCTGCCTTTCAAACCTTATTTGAAGAATCTGGAATCAACCTTAAGGTGTAGAACAAATATAAATACAGTCAATCAAATGCAAGTGTCTAAGTCCAAACATATCTGGCTTTAAACTTTTCCTGATCATAAACTCATTACCTAGTCTTTATATAAATGTAGTTTATGCACAGAACTTACTGTCTATGTTAAGCTTAAAACATGTCTGACATATTCGTATTGCAGTGATTTTTTTTTTTTCAGATATTGGTATTTTCTCCATTGCTCTGGAAGAGCCTTCTCCTGCCTGAGGGTTGTGTTATAAACCTGTGCCACAAACCTGTCCAAGGAAGGACTGATCTGCAGCATGGTTTGGCAAGCTTTACTTCTCCCCAGAAAACCCTTGGCTGTGGTGCTTAACAGATTTGCTGGAACGCTGAGTCGTAATAACAATTTCATATGGCTGTAGAGTTAGTGCTAGCATGGGCCTGATTGCAAGGAGGATAATGCATCAACTGCGCTTGATGTGATGAGTAAAAGTGGAGTAAGGGTATAAACGCTGAGGAACAAGAACAGAGTTCAGCTGAGCCAGTAAAGCTATAGTGAAACTGAAGATACGGTAGCTTTAGTTACTGTAAGAAATTGAATTTGGGGCCAGGAACACTACAAGCCAAAAGATGAACTCATCCAGAGTATCAGGCTGCAGTCTTATTTGAAGGCAATGAGTATCAAACAGTGAGTTGTGAACGGCTTTCAAAGTGTTTTTGGCGTGAGAATATGAAGGCTGGTCTTGGCATATCAGGACACAAACTTATCGTCAGCCTAGAATTGCAGTAAATATAAACTTTCCAATTTAAGAAGTTAAAATAACTTTACACTTGTGTCACCTCCAGAAGCTAAACTTTCAGATTTTTCCTTGGTGAACTTTCAGAAAGGAGGAGGATGTAATAGAAGAGGCAGTAGGGCTGGTAGCAAAAACAACCTGTTGGGACATCAGAAAGGTGTTGGCCACACATCAAAAACCTAATGGATTTCAAAGAAGGAGAGAAAGCCATAAAGTGTTTTTGACTTGGTGTTTATGTAAAGCAGTTGCCAAGAATAATTAGTGGAGAATGCAATCTTAGCAAGTAATGTTCAGATTTTCTTCCTTCAAACCACGTTTTCCTAGTTAAGTCTTAAGAAATACATTGTGCTTTCATGTTAGGAATCAAAACACAGATAAAAGTAATGAAGTAACTCTAAACTTCGTAAAGCAGACTTCATTAAGTTTCACATACTAAATTCAGGCAATCAGCAGAAAAATGTTTATAAGCCATTTCTGTGGAGGAATAAGGGCAGGTTCTTAAGAATGTCATGCAAAGAAAAGCATTTCATGACCTCCTTTGTCTTTAATAAAGCATAAAGGCAGCCCGAAAGGGAGTATTAAGCTTTTCTATAGTAAGGTCTCTATATGAATAGAGGTTTGTCTTCTAGATTTCTTCAGATTCTTCCAGACAAGCTTAGCTTACCTGTGGCAAGTCTAGTGAGCAGGTATGTTTAAAAAAAAAAACCAAAAACAAACAAAAAAAAAACCAAACAAAAAAACCCAAACCAAACAAAAAACCCAAAACAAACCAAAAAAGCCCCACACCTGGATGACCGGTTTGCTTCACAGAGCTGATGTCATGTCCTCTGTACTTTGGGTCTATTGCCATTTGTGAAACTTGCTGAGAACTTCTACTTACGTTTATTCTCTTATAAATAAAACCGATTTTTGCGCATGAAGTAGCTGTTTGAATCATCTGGTTTTCCACAGCAGTTGGTTTGATTTTGAGGCAACCGATCATCAGCAGAAGGCTTCATTGCGGGTATTGTAAGCAGGGTATGGTGTAGAGTGGATACCATTCAGATCCTGTTCAAGGAGCCTTACACGTTCTAACCGAAATGAAGCAAGTACATGTATATACGTTTTAATTTGGGGCAGATCGAGGCAGTACTTAAAGCTAAGCAATTATACTTACCTGTGCTGTCTCTTCAGCCAGAATGATGTCCTGATACCTGTGCTGGTTTTGACTGGTTCGTTTACTTCCCCGTAGCTGGTATGGGGCTGTGTTTTGGATCTGTGCTGAAAACAGTGTTGGTAACTCAGGGATGTGGTCGTTACTGCTGAGCAGGGCTTACCCAGAGCCAAGGCCTTTTCTGCCTCTCAGCCCACCCCACCAGCGAGGAGGCTGGGGGGGTGCACAAGGAGTTGGGAGGGGACACAGCTGGGACTGCTGACCCCAACCGGCCTAAGGGATATCCCATACCGTATGGCATCATGGTCAGCATACACAGCTGGGGGAACAAGGAGGAAAGTGGGGACGGCTGGAGTGATGGTGTTCGTCCTCCCAAGTCACCGTTAGGCGTGATGGAGCCTGGCTTTCCTGGAGATGGTGGAACACCAGCCTGCCCATGGGAAGCGGTGAACGATTCCTTGCTTTGCTTGTGTGCATAGCTCTTGCTTTACCTATTAAACTGTCTTTATCTCAACCCATGAGTTCTCTCACTTTTGCCCTTCCGAGTCTCTCCCCCATCCCACTGTGGGGAGTGAGCGAGTGACTGTGGGGGCTGAGTTGCTGGCTGGGCTTAAACCACGAGAGTGCTGCAAAAAGATGGAATCTTTGCATAGCTTACGTCCCTAAATGCTGACATTCTAGTAAGCATCACTTCTCTGTTACTATTTGGATTTATATGGTTCTATTCTCAAACTCCTATTTCAGATTCTGTGCTTAAGTTGACTCTTACATTGGTGGCTTTTTAAACGTGAAGTTCAGAACAGTCCAAGTCGTCTTTTACCAGTATTTTGTAATAATTGTATTAATTTATCCTGCAATGGCCTCAGGTGTGTGGTGTGTTCTCTCACTTCCTTCAGAGAGTTTTCTAGCACTGTAGAGCCCATTTTTCTGACACGCAGCAGCTATATAACATTATTATTCAGCAATAGTAGCGTCAATTGGATTCATAAAAATAAGGAAGTTCTAACTTTTTCAATGATGCTCTTATGTGTATGATTCTGGCTAAATTAATCCACAAGGGGTCTGTAGATGCGGTTAATAAGATTCAATTATGGTGTGTGCATCTTTGAAAGCTTGAGGAATTATGTCATGTCCACCCAGCAAGTGCTTGCACTGCTAACCGTCGGTCTGTAAGGCTCAGGGATCAGACTTAAAGTAAGGGGATGCGTTTAACTTCTTTCTACTAGAGAAACTCAAAAACCAGTATAAATGAGGAAAAAAAGATGGGGGCTGGAGGGCCAGAGAGTTTCACCTAGGAAGGTAGTTTATTGCCTGATGCTTACCTAAGGCAAACAGTGTGCAGGCTTTTTGTTGGTTTTAATACAGTTTTCACAAATGGGGAAAGGGAGTCCTCTGTCCTGGTGGATTTTGTAAGCGGTGTAGTAATTAAGTGCAATATGGCAATAACAGCAAGTCTCTTCTGGTCGGTTGTGTTTGAAAGTATTTCCCAGATAGAGTTTCACTTCTGGCAGTGGGCTCCAGCAAGCATTAAGTGAACATGAATTTTAAAATACAGCAGTAGAGGTATTTTCAGAAATGCTATATATCACCATTAGAAATGTGTGATGCATGATTTATTTTTTCACACACCACAAATACAGTTACTCTGCAAGCTAGGTTTTGTTTTCAACCATGATTCAAAAAGACTGCTCTGTAGATCAGCTCTGCTTTCATCTGCAGTTCATCTGCAGATTAGTTTTATTACTTCATACAGTTTTCATTATAGATATTGAAGTTAGTTGCATAAATTAAGATCATATGGACAATATACATAACTAATTTTTGTGTTCTCTGATTCTCTTTGCAGTTGATGAAGGTCGTGTTAAGGAACTGGGCAGAGTGAGAGTACTTCACAAGAGAACCGTGATGCCTTACAGTGTGTATAAGAAAAGAAGGAAGGGGCCAAGTGACGAAGCCAGCGTTCAGCAATATGCAAGTTTGGTTGGACAGACCTGTTCAGAAAGAATGTTGTTGTTTAGAAGTTGAAAAATCATTAAATGGCGTTTCGATGGCACTACATTTTATTGCACTGCCACTGGATGATATGTACTATAGTTGTGTGTTGGTATGCCTACTCAAATAGCAGTATGAAATAGAGGTATATATCTAGGCTTGTGTGAATACATGGTACTGTGTTTAAAGGCCAACTTCAATAAAATTTACAATACAGCAAGGCTTCAGCAATATAAGTTTAGAAAAACATGCTTGCAATATATTTTAATTAAGTAGTTCTAGCCTTTCTATGCATTTTGAATAATTATAAGTATCTAAGCAAAATGAAAAACAGGTGTCTTTTTTGTAGAGACAGAGGTTGACTAAATCTAGATTAACAATAATTATATTACAAATGTTTTCAAATAGCACCTTGGGTATCTGTTGTTAAAAATTGCCATGAAATTTATGCTCGCATTTGTATGCTCCTAAACTCTTGCAAGAGAATTGAAACGTGCTGTTACTTTCTAATGTGAAATCTGGCATGGTTTAATTTTATTTCAATGGTATATTTAAAAACAGGAAGAAATTATTTTCACTGCACATTCTTCATTTGTTTAAAGCGGTAAGTTAGTCTCTGAGGTCCTAGTGAATGTAGGAGTTCATAGGAGATTCTCAGTGGCAGGGGATGCAGTGCTTTGGAAAACTTCCCCCTTTCGAGATGAAACAGAATAGTTGCACTATAAATATACCAAAGATATGCAGCCAAGTGGCACAGTGGGTTTTTGGTATAAGCCTTATTCTTTGTCTAAAAAGAGTGGATATTTTAACGCACATCACTAATGTGAAATAGAGCTTGGAAGGTTTATCCTATAGCTCTTCAGTGCACATTCAAGAACTACGCTAAAAAAAAAGACCTGAGGTACCACTGCTGGGTTTTGTTGCAGTTTTTTTCTGCAGAATTGTATGGGAAGACTTAAATATCATATTCCTGCATTTTTACTGACTGTTTTGTTTATGGTGCAGCAGCTCACAGGTTAACATCTTTAGTAATATTTTACTAAATACTTCTGTTGGAAACACAGGAAGTTGTGATGCTTTATGAAAGAAATTTATTATCTGATATATGAGTCTGTGTCCCCATCAAGTCATATAAGTTATAGGAATTTTGGGAAATAACACTTGTATAATTCAGTAACGTATTACAACATCGTAACAATACCAATGCATTTGTGTTTCTTATCTTTTTGGATAACAGGAGCTAGTATTTACCTTGCATCAACTTGAAATTTCCTGTTAACCTTTGAAGAAAGATTCTTATTCAAGAATATATGTGTAGGTGTTTTTCCCCAGAAAGGAACCAAATTCAGTTTTACGTTCTGAGGGTTACATCTCCTGTCATTCACGGGCTTGATTTAATTTTAAACACTTGGCCAATATTGTTAATCATCGACTTTTATGTGGAACAGACATAAGAATTTGGGAATTCAAGTGCATTGCAGATTTAACTTTTTTCCTTATCTGTTTGATCATTGTAATACTATTGATAGAGAGTACAGCTTCAACAGTAATTTTAAAAAGTAATTTTATGTTTTATTAATTGGGATCTATTGTATTGGCCTACTCCCAGCCTGCAACAAAATTGATTATTTCTATCAGCATTGTATCTGGTATGTGTTTATCTGTTGCCTGGTACTGAGAAGTTTCTATATACTGTACAATCTAGTTTGTCCATGTCTTGTCTAAACCTATTGCCACAGAAGAACCACTAAATACTACTAACAAACATTATTATAAAGAGTTCCTTTCTGTGGGGAAAATACTCTTGCCACTCAGTGAAATGTCAAATAGCGTCACATTTTCTGTCTACACGATGTGCTGAAAAGCGTTGATGCCCATATGGCTTAAAACCAAAATAAATGAGAAAAACTTTTTATATAATATAAAATCAGTTAATGGGCACAGAGGAATTCTAGTCTGACTTGCAAAATCTTAAAGATTATCAAAACCATTTAATGATGGCCTTGCTGTGCTCCTGGAGAAGTTAAAGTTTCTGTTAAATTGCAAGGGAGCAGACTTAACGTCACCACTGAGAGTTCTTGAAGAGCTTCATCTTTTGGTGCCCACACTTTGTTACTGATACGCCTTCTAGGTAGGTATTAGAATTTTATCTGATGCTCTGTTTCTCTTGGGGAGCTTTTAAGGACTGCAGTTAAAGTGAGATAAGTATAAAATTGAAAATTGAGTACAGCTTGAAGTTGTCGTTAGTGTAACCACTAAAGGTAAATGACCATTTCCTGTGAATTCTGAGATGGTGCTTTCACTTTCTGACCTCCACTGGAACTTCAACACCACGGCATGCCGGGCTTCTGACTCTTACTGAACACAAATATGTGTGTGTGTGTATATATACACAAAAAGTCAACATGAGATTAACGCAAAAATTGAGTTCATCTGATACAGTATGCTGAGATCTGACTCTCTTCTTTAGTGTTATTTTAGAAGGAAATTGGTGCAGTATTTTTCAGGACTGATACCTGTATCCCTCTTTTAGAAGTGGAATGCAGTTTGAGGATGAAGTTCTGTAAATTTTGCCATTGACTTCAGTGGAGCTGAAAATTCACCACTGTTATGATTTTATGTAATAAGATGTCATTGAGAATTATTGAATTTAGAGATATTTAATTTAGTACAAACTATTTTGTAAGAGGTTTTTTTTTAGTGTAGCTAGTTTTTCAGAGTTAATCTTTAAAGTAAGGTTACCTTGTTCTATCGTCTGTTGATAAATGAGCATAAAATGGTGGTGAGAAAGTGCACGGCTGTGACCAGTGCTAAAAAATAGTATTCTTTGTTTTAATTGGAAATAAATGGGGAGCTTACTCATTTCCAGCATCAACACATTTCAGTAAATGCAAAAGAACCCGCATGTTGAGTTTGTAATTGCTTTTCAGCAGGCCTGTTTGACTTGTAAGTACAGAAAATAAAGTTATTTCTAGTCTCTCTGAATTATTATAAGTTATAGCTCTGAGTGTGACTTCTGTATTACTTTGTAGGAATTCATTATCTTGGAGGTTGACTAAGTGTCCAGAACAGCAGAATCAGGGAAGTCAAAGAGTAGCAGTGACTAGAAGGGATGCCTATCAGGTCAAAACACATGACTGTATTTTAGAACTAAATTTTAATTCTAGCTAGACAGATTAATGAAGACTTTATGCTTTGAAACATAAAATAAAGAGGCTTTTCACAAATGGAGACTAGGTAGGACTAGCTGTTTATTTTAGTTAGGCTATACCATTTCTAGTTGGTTGAAAAAAAACTTTTCTCTGAAGTAAGCAGCCAAACAAGAAACAGAAATCTGGATTATGTGCACAAAGATAACGGAACACTGATTCATTTTCCTTGAATGAGGCAGAATTCCAGCTGATTCTGGATTCCTGAATGAGACTTTTGTCAAAACTCAGTGCCACCATGGCTTGAAATTTTGGTGTGCAAAGGGTTGCAGTGGTCCAGTGCACAGGGCTCTGTCCTTCAAACCATACTTTCTGGGAGCATTTATTTTTTCTGTTTCATTGCTCCTTTGGAGTCAGCATCCATCACCCTTTTTGAAGATCTCTTAATATCTTTGCCGAGTGATCATTCTGGAGCTACGAGCCTGATCAGCCACGTATTTCTGCGTTCCCTCTCGTTCCGGTTGTCCCAGATAATCCTTCAGATATGTCTTACATACTTTCCTCATCAGCTTTTTGCATCTCCACTGTATCCCCCAAGCTTTAATGGTTCTTGCTTGTCCTCTTCCAGTTCTGCTACAGGAAGAGTCTGCATTTGGAAGGGTGTAGACCATCTTTAGGGCAGAAGTCATTACCACGTTTCAGGGAAATGATCAGCATTTTCAGAAGCATCATAGCCACATGTCGTACCCAATATATTTATAACACTGCACCTTCAGAGCCTCTTGTGTATGATCTCACATACTGAGCATAAAAAAAGCCAGATTGCGTTTCCACTTGCCAAATGATTTGTTTGCTTAAGTTAGTCGAAGTGATGGAGAATTTCCAAGCCCTGACTCTGTGGCTGTCCTTAGGAGGCCAGGGTGGTGAGCTGGGTTCCCCAGTCAGGCTTGAGCGTCAGCTGGGGAAAGCGCTGCAAAGAAAACACCGAGGAAGGGATGGCGATGACCCTGCGTGACGGGGAGAGGACCTGAAGGTGGCTGCTGGTCAGAAGAACATTAACTGGTAAGTAGCCATGTGATTTGCCTTTAGTTATGAGACAGGTATTAGTCTCACTGGGGAAATAAAAATGCATGTGGAAAACAAATTGTATAAATAACACCATTTATACATGGTGTTAACCATATATGTTAACCATAGCTGCTAACAAAAAGAGTATAGCAGGTAGATTGATTATAATAAGCTCATTTTATATGAGTTTTTTTGAAAAGCACAGTGTTGCCAAGTATACAAGCACTTACTAAACTGAACATTTTGTGAATAGAACTGCTTAAGTACAAAGATAATGGAGGTGTTAAAATATGTTGTATGAGCCAAAACGCATTTACAGGAACAGATGTACAATAGTAACTCATACTAAACGTAGTATCCAGGTGCTACTTGTGGTCACCGGATTCCTAAATAAAATAGTATTCTATACATTAATCTACTATATGCATTTTATAGCGCATTCAAAGCTCATCTTGTGAGAGCTTTGTTTTCTAACAGTATTCAAATGAATTGGAATATAAATAGTTGAAATTAACATATAAACCTAAGTATAGCATATGTTAATACTATCTAAATTAATATGAAACGATCTCAGCTCCAAACCCAGTGATTCTTACTGATCATCTCGGACAAGTAACAGCTCAGAAGCTTTCTGGCTGTCTCTCTTCATGGTTATGTTGTACTGTTTTGATGTTTATTCATTTCCTTATTATAACTATTCCCATCAGGTTTTTTTTTGTGCTTCCCATCAATTATTTCCACTTCGGTTTTGACACATAATACATGTGTCTGCCAAAAGTCCTGCTGAGAGATTGCTATCGGGACAAAAGAAAGTGT